ATGAATATACTTACTGCCACTGAACTGTACACTTAGAAATGGCTAAAACGGTAAATTCCGTGTTATGTATCTTTTATGATAAAAACATTTTTTTTTTCTTAATGTGCAAAGAAACAGTTTAGCCTAGCTGATCTAATCTTGGCTCTAAATCTTGGCTTCACCAGGCTCTGTGACCCGGTGTAAGGTTTGTAACTTCTCTAAGCTTAAGTTTCTACATCTGTAGAACTAGGTAATTTCCCTTCATAAAGTTGTTTGAGGTAATGCATGTAGAATACTTGATGCAGAACCCAGATAATGGTAAGCACTCAGTAAGTGTTTTCTCTTATTATTAAATGTATAGGGTATAGGGTCTGTGGCTCTGTCATGATTATACCCCAGGTGCTCAACACAGTAAGTGCTCTTTGCATGTGTGTGAAATGAACAAATGGCTCACAGTTTCCTACTTCAAGCCCCTACTCCAGCAATTCTCAACTGTGGTCTGGGAGCCCATGGTGGCTATGTCCCTGAGGTCAAGACTAGTTCCTAACAATACTAAGGTGCTACTTGCCTCTATTAGTCTGGTGTTCATAGGAGTGCAGGTAGTAGGAAAAGTTCATTGATGTGGTTTCAGATTCCACACTGCAACCAACCTTTAAGAAACTCCTACTAGTCGGGGTGCCTGGGTGGCTCAGTAGGGTTAAGTGTTTAGCTCTTGATTTTAGCTCAGGTTATGATCTCATGGTTTGTGAGATCAAGCCCCACATCAGGCTCTGTGCTGAAAGCGTGGAGCCTGCTTGGGATTTTCTCTCGCCCTCTCTCTGCCCCTCCTGCATGCTCTCTTTCTCAAAATAAATAAATAGACTTCAAAATAAAAAACCTCCCACTAGTAAAGTTTTGGTGTAGTATCAAAGAAAAATATGCACTTATCTGAAAAAAGCAATTAAAATATCTCTCTCTTCTCAACTACATCTGGGAGGATGGGTTTTCTTCATTATTTTTCAGCCTGAAGAACATATTGCAACAGATTTATTGTAGAAGATGATATGCATTTGTGTTCTATTACTCTAGATAGTAAAGAGATAATAAAAGCATAAGCAATACCCTTAACTAAATGTTTTTGTTTGAGGACATACAGTTATTATTTATAAAAATATGCTCTTTAGGATAATGAACAGATTATTTTAAAATAAACTCACAAGTATTTTTAAATTTCTCAGTTTTAATTTCTAGTATGGTGCATATTGATAGACAGAATGTTCTTTGGGATCAGTATTTTTTAAGAGTGTAAAGGAGCCAAAAGTTTGAGAACCAATGTCCTGCCTTACACGTGGGTCGCTGCCACCTCCCCCTCCTCTTCCCCCCAGGACAGCTGGCTGGCAGCGTGTGCTTTAACACTCTGTGGGATGGAGAGGTCACCCCCGTCTGGGCAACTGGTTTTATCTTTGGACAACTCTGACAGAGAGTTTTGGCAAGATGTCAAAAATCTGTGTTTTGGAGGCTCGCATTGACTGGTTTTAGATCCACCCCTTAGTTACACACATCACAGGATAGAACTTTCTTCCAGGTCTGAAGACAGTCATCAGCTGCCTTTCGTAGTGGCCCCAGAGGGAATCAGCCTGTTCTTGGGATGACTAAAGTGCGTGTGTGTTTTTCTGAGTCAGCCAGTGACTTGTAGGAAGCATTGCCAAGCCAGATAGCTACAGCTGCTTTTCCAGGAACCAGAAGATTATCTCCAGCCCCACACCAAATTTGAGAAACTCTTTTTGCTGTTTTCCCAATAAATTAAAATTTTTGTCTGTTACAAATCGCACATGCTTATTAAGGAAAAAAATTTTTTTAAGTAGAAAAAAAGAGCCTTAAAAATGGAAATTGGGTCACAGCCCTGACTTTCCTGTGTTGGCATCTCTCTTCCAGGCTTGCCTTGAATGCCATTCTTTTCAAACAATCCCTGCAAACAGATATGTGCACTAGGCCTCCAGAGGTTTCTCGGGTTGACAGGCTGCCCACCGCATGGTGAAGGGGGCAGCTGTTGGTCAGTCAGTAGCCCCTAAGGACAGCTGGGGGAGGCACTCAGAGGGAACAGAAGCTCCCCAGGAGTGTGATTCTCCTGCCATCTGAAAGCACTTTAGGCCAGATCTCTTCAGGCTATGTGGGGTCAGAGGGGACAGACACGCTACGACAGCAGCGACTGGTAAATTCTTTTCTGCATTTTTCGGGGGTAATATGAAGTTCTTGCGGAAATTTGACTTCTGAGAATCTATCCTAAGGAAATGATAAGAGATTTAGATGGCATTATGTGTCTATCATTATTCATAAAATTTGGAGACAAGCTAAATGTTCTACAACAGAGGTTTACTTTTAAATCTATGTGTAAGGGGGCAGGGAGTATATGGGAAATCTCTATCTTTTCCTCAATCTTGCTGTGAACCTAAAACTGCTTAAAAATCAAGTTCTTTTTTAAAATTTCATTTTAAATTTCATTTTTAAATGTTTATTTATTTTTGAGAGAGAGAGAGTGTGTAAGCAGGGGAGGGGTAGAGAGAGAGGGAGGCATAGAATCTGAAGCAGGCTCCAGGCTCTGAGCTGTCAGTGTAGAGTCTGATGCAGAGCTCAAACTCATGAACCACGAGATCATGACCTGAGCCAAAGGTGGACACTCAATTGAGTGGCCACCCAGGGGCCCCTACAATTTATTTTTCAGTAATTTCCCCACCCAATGTGGGGCTCAAACTCACAACCCTGAGGGGCACCTGGCTGGCTCAGTTGGTTAGGCGTCTGACTTCGGCTTGGGTCATGGTTTCATGGCTTGTGGGTTCTAGCCCTGCACTGGGCTCTGTGCTGACAGCTCGGAGCCTGGAGCCTGGTTCAGAGTCCGTGTCTCCCTCTCTCTCTGCCCCTCCCCTGCTTGTGCTCTGTCTCTGTCTCTCTGTCTTTTTCAAAAATAAATAAACATTTAAAAATAAAAAAAAAAAAACCTCACAACCCTGAAATTAGGAGTTGCATGTTCTACCAACTGAGCCAGCCAGGCACCCCAAAAAATGAAGTTTAAAAAACCCCTTTCTGTGTGATTATATATTCTGTGCTGGTTAAAAGTAATGAATGATACTTACAAAGTCTTTTTTATGACATGAGGAAATTCTCAAAAATATTAGTTGACCAGTATATGACTAGCATACAGTGTTTTTTTAATTAAAACTTTTAGAAATATTTTTATTTATTTTTGAGAGAGAGAGAGAGTATGAGCAGGAGAGGGGCAGAGAGAGAGGGAGGCACAGAATCTGAAACAGGTTCCAGACTCTGAGCTGTCAACACAGAGCCTGATGTGGGGCTTGAACCCACAAACTGTATGATCATGACCTGAGGCAAAGTTGGACGCTTAACAAACTGAGCCAGCCAGATGCCCCTAGAGTATAGTTTTAAATAAATATCTGTTGATTGAAAAACATTTAAAGGTAAATAAGAAACTGTATATTCATACAGTCTTGATTACATAATATTTTTATGACAAAGTGAAAAAAAGTTTATCTTAATGGCACCAATATATCTCATATGGAGGAAACTGTCTTTGTGGAAACACTCTGCAGTGCCCAGCAGGCACAGATGTCAGCAGATGCCCACCTCAGAGAGGGGAAGCTGCTGTGCATGAAGCAAAGAGAGGAATTTGGTTTACTGCACGTGAAAAGGAGGAAGAAGAAACGAACACTCTTGCAATTGCAAATGATAGAAACTTAACTCTCTCTGGCATGAGGGAAAAAAACCCAGGTATCTAGGTAGACATGGTTGGATTCAGGGACTCAAATTTTGTCATTTGTATTTGAGTTCTTTCTCCATCTCTTGATTTTGTTTTCCTTCGTTGGGATTCATTCTCAAGCAGGCTCTCGACATATGGTGGGAAAGATGGGCACTAGCATCGCTAGGCTGACCTTTCTTTCTACCAGTTTAGCGATCCTGAGAGGCAAGAGTCCTTTACTCACCAAGAATTCCATAAGCCTGTCCCTGAATAGCAGTCTGGCCAGGGAGATGGAATGTAGCGATTACTTGGGCTGGTCACTTGTTTGAATCACTGGAATAGGGTGGGGTCCTCCCTGCTCAAGTCATTTGGAAGTTCTGAAAAGCAATTTCCAGGTTCCTGGCATGAAGCTTCTGAAACCCTTGGAATTTCCTGCGTGATAAAGTGTCTTTATTACACACGAGTCCCTTGGATCACTCCTCTGAGTTTCTGCTAGTGAAGGCATTTGGGGGAGTGGGGGCGGGGAGACCCTAGATAGCTTCAGGATGGAGACCGGTCACCAGAAATAACCGATCTCTAATTAGAGGATTGGGGTTTTGAGCCAACCCAGCCTCAGTTCTGGGTTCAAACCCAGACTGAATTCAATCCCATGATCCTAATTTAACCAATCATGCCTAAACAATGAAATTCCAATAAAACTCTGGACACAAAAGCTCAGCAGAGGTTCCTGTTCGGTGAACACATTGTTGGGAGTATGAGGTTCTCTCATTCCATGGGAAGAGAGTGCAGAAATCGTGTGTTCAGGACCCTCCTAGAACTCACGCTGTGTGTCTCTTTATTTGGCTGGTCTGATTTGTATCCCTTATAATAAAACTGTAAATGCAAGAGTAGTGCTATCCTCAGTTCTGTGAGTCATTATAGTGAATTATAGAACCTGAGGAGGTTTGTGAGAACCCTCTGGATTTGTAGCTGGTTGGTCAGAAGTGTAGGTGGCCTGGGACCACACTCGATACAGGGGTCTGAAGTGGGGGCAGTCTTGGTGGGGATGGTGTTCTTAAACCTGTGGGGTCTGCCAATGACTCTGGGCACTACGTGTTAGAACTGAGTTGCACTGTACCACCAGGTGTTAGAACAGTTGGGCTTGAAACAGAATAGATTTGAGTCCAATCCAGATACATCATAGGACATAGGAAGAGATGTGGAGTCAGGATCCCAGAGGCCAGGTGGCTATGGTAACAGAACATCTCTGGAAAAGAACAGAAATCTTGAGGACGGCTTTGGATTTCCACAGGGTATGGAAATGGAGACAAGAGAGTCCAAGCCAATTTTATCTCAGTCCTTCAGAGGAGGAGGATTCCCAACTGAATGTGAGTTACATATGTTTACTTTTATTATAAGAACCTGTGTTCAAAGATTTTCACTTTTATGAACTGATCACTACCAGTTTCTCCAAAAGAGAAAATTTCTTTCACTCACTCATGGCAGAGCTTGCTATCTTACACATATGTGTTCAAAGTCCTTCCAGTCACTTCCAGAGCTGGGTGTAGAAGTATAAGATGGATGTGTTGGCTGATGCAGGATGGTGGGTTTGCCAGGTGAGTGCAAGAGAAAGTCAAGGGGGACAGGATTTACTAGGATGTGTTTATTATTTCTGTAGAAGCCAAAAATACCAGAAAGTCCAGTGCTGTGTGTATGTGTGTGTGTGTGTGTGTGTGTGTGAGTGTGTGTGCATATTGGTGGCACGTAACAACCCAATGTTTTAAGAAGCAGTATAGACCCAGGACCAGTTGCCCTATAGAATGGCCCCTCCACAAAAATATGTGAGGTACACTATTGCGTTTTCCTCACTAATTAGCACTGAAAATGGGTTGAGTTTTTATTTCCTTTGTCTTTTTCATTTTTAAATCAGGGTTAATGATAAAATAAACTTCAGTTTATTTTAAATAAACTTAGTTAATATTTTATTACATTTATTATTATATTTACTGATATGGGTATTTCCACAAATGAATATACAACATTAGTATACTTATATGTTTATATTATATTAATTATTATATTTAATAGTTTATAATTTTATTTATAGTTTATTATTTGAACTAAACGTTCTTTCCCCCAACTTTTTATTTAAATTCCAGCTAGTTAACATACAGCGCAAAATTTCTTTCAGGTGTAGAATTTAGTGATTCATCACGTAGATACAACACCTGGTGCTCCTCACCAGGGCCCTCCTTAATCCCCATCACCTATTTAACCCATGCCCTGCCAGCCTCCCCTCTGGTAACCATCAGTTTGTTCTCTATAGTTAAGAATCTGTTTCTTGGTTTGCCTCTTTCTTAGCCCTATATTCATTTGTTTTGTTTCTTAAATTCCACATATGAGTGAAATCATTATGATATTTGTCTTTCTTTGACGGACTTATTTTGCTTAGCATAATGCTCCCTAGCTCCATCCATGTCATTGCAAATGGCAAGATTTCATTCTTTTTTTTTTTTAAGAAGCTTTCTTTTAAATAAATTTATTTATTTTGAGAGAGAGGGTGTAGGTGAGGGGCAGGGAGAGAGGGAGAGAGAGAGAATTCTAAGCATGTTCTACACTGTGAGCGCTGAGCCTGAGGCAGGCCTTAAACTGTGAGATCACGACCTGACCCGACACCAAGAGCCAGATGCTTAACCAACTGAGCCACCCAGGTACCCCAGATTTCACTCTTTTTGATGGCTGAGTAATATTCCAATATACACATACATAAACATACATTATACATATACATACATATATATCACATCTTCTTTATCCATTCATCAGTGAATGGACATCTGGGCTCTCTCCATAGTTTGGCTATTGTTGATAATACTGCTATAAACATCAGGGTGTATATATCCCTTCAAATCAGTATTTTTGTTTCCTTTGGGTAAATACCTAGTAGTGCAACTGCTGTGTTGTAAGGTAGTTCTATTTTTAACTTTTTGAGGGACCTCCATACAGTTTTCCAGAGTGGCTGCACCAGTTTGCATTCCCAGCAACAGTGCAAGAGGGTTCCCCTTTCTCCGTATCCTCACCAACATCTGTCGTTACCAGTGTTCATTTTAGCTATTCTGAAAGGTGTGAAGGGATATCTCATTGTAGTTTTGATTTGTATTTCCCTGATGATGAGTGATGTTGAACATCTTTTCATGTATCTGTTACCCATCTGTATGTCTTCTTTGGAGAAATGTCTATTCATGTCTTCTGCCCATTTTTAATTGGATTATTGCACTTTTGGGTGTTGAGTTTTTTAAGTTCTTTATATATTTCAGATACTAACCCTTTATCAGATAGGTCATATGCAAATAGCTTTACCCATTCCATAAGTTGCCTTTTAGTTTTACTGATTATTTCCTTCTCTGTGCAGAGGCTTTTTATTTTGACAAAGTCCCAATAGTTTATTTTTGCTTTTGTTTCCCTTGCCTCAGGAGACATTCCTAGTGAGAAGTTGCTATGTCTGATGTTAAAGAGCTTGTTGCCTGTGTTCTCCTCCAGGATTTTGATGGTTTCCTGTCTCATATTTAGATCTTTCATCCGTTTTGAATTTATTTTTGTGTTTGGTGCAAGGAAGTGGTGTAGATTCATTCTTTTGCACATTGCTGTCCACTTTTCCCAGCACCATTTTTGAAGAGACTGTCCTTTTTCCATTGGATATTCTTTCTTGCTTTGTCAAAGATTAATTGCCCATATAGTTGTAGGTTCATTTCTGAGTTTTAGTTTTCTATATTATTCCATTGATCTATGTGTCTGTTTTTGTACCGGTACCATACTGTCTCGATCACTGCATTTTGTAATAAAACTTAAAGTCTGGAATTCTGATGCCTCCAGCTTTGGTTTTCTTTTTAACTAACTTGAATTTAAATAAGTAAAAAAAAAATTGCTTTGGCTATTGGGGTCTTTTATGGTTCCATATAAATTTTAGGATTGTTCTAGCTCTGTGAAAAATGCTGTTGGTGTTTTGATAGGGGTTGCATTAAATGTGTAGATTGTTTTGGGTAATATAGACATTTGAACAATATTTGTCATTCCAATCCATGAACATGGCATGTCTTTCTTTCTCTTTGTGTTGTCTTTAATTTCTTTCATCAGTGTTTATAGTTTTCAGAATATAGATCTTTTACTTCTTGGTTTGGTTTATTTCTAGATATCTTATGGTTTTTGGTGAGATTGTAAATGGAATTGATCCCTTGATTTCTCTTTTTGCTTCTTCATTATTGGTGTATGGAAATGGAACAGATTTATGTATATTGATTTTGTATCTGCTGTGTGTTTTTTTTCTTTTTTTTTATTGTGCATACTTAATGTCAGTTTATTTTTTTTCTTCTCTTTTTATTTTTTCATTTTTTTTCTTACAAATAGTTTATTGTCAAGTTGGTTGCTGTGTGTTTTTTCATATATGGCCTTTATTATGTTGAGATATTTTCCCTCTAAACCTACTTTGTTAAGGGTTTTATCATGAATGGATGTTGTACTTTGTCAAATGCTTTTTCTGTAGCTATTGAAAGGATCATATAAGGGGTACCCGGGGGGCTTAGTTAGGCATCCGATTCTTGATTTTGGCTCAGGTCATGATTTCCTGGTTTGTGGGCTTGAACCCCACATCAAGCTCTGCACTGAAAGATTGGAGCCTGCTTGGGATTCTTTCTTTCTCTTCTCTATGTCTCCCCTGCTTGTTCACTCTCTCTCTCAAAGTAAATAAACATTAAAAAAAGGATCATATAGTTCTTATCCTTTCTTTTATTAATGTGGTGTATCACATTAATTTGAGAATATTAAACCACACTTGCAACCCCAAAATAAATCCCGCTTGATTGTGGTAAATGATTCTATTAATGTACTATTGGATTCAATTTGCTAGTATTTTATTGAGAATTTTTGCACCCATGTTCATCAGGGATATTAGCCTGTAGTTCTTTCTTTTTTTTTAAATCATTTAAAAAATGTTATTCATTCCTTATGATTGTCACTCTAGAATCATTTTTATTTAGTTTGAGAAAATTCTTTAAATTTTTAAAAATATTTACCTATTTTTGAGAGATAGAGAAGAGCATGAGCAGCAGAGGGGCAGAGAAAGAGGGAGACAGAGAATCTGAAGCAGGCTCCAGGATCTGAGCTGTCAGCACAGGGCCTGATGTGTGGCTTGAACTCACAAACCAGGGATCATGACCTGAGCCAAAGTCAGACTTGACTGAGCCACTCAGGCACCCCTGTAGTTCTCTTTATTTAGTTGAGTCTTTGTCTGGTTTTGGTATCAGGGTAATGCTGGCCTCATAGAATAGATTTGGGAGTTTTCCTTCTATTTCTATTTTTTGGAATAGTTTGAGAGGAATAGTTATTAACTCTTTTTTAAATATTTTGTAGAATCCTCCTATGAAGCCCTCTGGCCCTGAACTTTTTAGTTGTTAGGAGATTTTTGATTACTGATTCAATATCTTTGCTGGTTACGAGTCTGTTCAACCTTTCTATTTCTTTCTGTTTCAGCTTTGGTAGTTTATATGTTTCTAGGAATTTATCCATTTCTTCCAGGTTGTCCAACTTGGTGGCATATAATTTTTAATAATATTCTCTTATAATATTTGTATTTCTGTGATGTTGGTTATTATTTCTCCTCTCTCATTTATGATTTTATTCATTTCTCTTTTCTTTTTGATAAGTTTGGCTAGTGGGTTATCAATTTTAATTTCTTCAAAGAACTAGCTCCTAGATTTATTGATCTGTTCTTTTTTTTTAATTTCTATATCACTTATTTCTGCTCTAAACTTTATTATTTCCCTTCTTCTGCTAACTTGAAGCTTCTTTTGGTGTTTTTGTTCTAGCACCTTTAGGTGTAAAGTTAGGTTATTTATTTAAGATTTTTCTTGTTTCTAGAGATTGACCTGTATTGCTATATACTTCCCTCTTAGGACTACTTTTGCTGCATCCCAAAGGTTTGCACCACAGTGTTTTCATTTTCATTTGTTTCTGTGTATTTTTTTTAAATTTCTTTTTGGTTTTCTCACTAACCCTTTAAACATGTTGTTTAACCTGAACGTATTTTGTGGTCTTTCTAAATTTTTTCTTGTGGTTGACTTCAAGTTTCATAGCATTGTGATCAGAAAATACACATGATGTGATCTCAGTATTCTTGTACTTGTTGAGGGCAGATTTGTGACTCAGTATGTGATCTGTTCTGAAGAATGTCCCAGGTACATAGGAGAAGAAGGTTTATTCTACTGCTTTAGGATGAAATGTTCCGAGTATGTCTGTTAAGTTCATTTGTTCCAGTGTGTCATTCAAAGTCATTGTTTCCTTGATGATTTTCTACTTAGAGGATCTGTTTCTTGATGTA